ATTTTACNGAAAAAAAAAAAAAAATGATAAAGAAAGAAGAAAAGCTGTTTTTTTTTTTTTTTTCAAAAAAACCTACTGTTTATAAGCTACTGGATTTCATTTGTAAATGATGGAATTTATCAAAATAACAAGCCCTTCATTTTCTGATTAAAAACTGTATGGTTATCCCTTTAGATACAGTTCAGACCTGACATGATTCATTTCAAAAGTGGCCTTTAATGTGAAAATTATCTCCAAGGAGATTTCCATTTGTTGATTTTTAGTAATTTAGAGTGAGGCACATGAATAATAGGTAAAGATGAATCATAGACTCTCTTCTCTCAAGCCCTCATGAAATGAATAGAAAAAGCAAAAAATTAAAGTATAGTAAAATCATAGAAGGAAACAAATTAAGAAAGGGACACAAGGTCACATAATAAACTTGGACAAGGGACAACTAAGGAAATAAACAAGATTTGTTGAGGGTGTCTGGGTGCTATTCTTGTCCACCGTGCTTCCTTGCTCAATACACAGACAACAAATTAGGAACAGGAAAGAGAAAGTCATCAAAAGAATTGACAAGTCTCAACAATGCCACATCAATTTGGAGAAAAGTAGGTGAAGGGAAGTGAAGAGAAAACATTTAAAATATTTTAAAATTTTATTTTATTTTATCAATATACAACGTAGTTGATTTTCGTGTCCCTTTACCAAAATATTTTTAAAGCTTCTAAACACCCACCTCAAGATCTTAGCAGAGTCAAGAAAATTGCAAAGCTGCAGGTGTCCCCACAGAGACAGACACACTGAAAACCAGGTTTAATCAATTGAATAAAATCCAGAAAAAGACAAGTGAGCCCAGATCCTCCATCAAAGGCGTCTGAGCTCCTCAGTCTTATCCTCCTCCCCATGCCTTTGAGCCGGCAGGATAAAGAAAAGAGTGCAAAACCCAACCCCACAAACAGTAGCTCCAAAGAGAGGCTGACAGGTGCAGAAGATTTTAGGGATAATTTAGTCTCACTATTTCAGAAGATATGAACTCACTATATCAGAAGATATGAACAAAGCCACCCACAATAAGCACTGACAAGTAAGATATAAAGAAATGAAACAACTAGCTATGCAAATAAACAAGAATCCAAAAATCTACAGCATGAAAAGGATAAGAAAATAAAAGACCAGTCTAGTAGAAAACACAGATCAGTACCATAAGAAAATTCCCCACAAGTCCTTTGGCTATAAAAGAAGTAATAAACTTTTTTAAAGGAGCAAAACTAATCTCGAAGAACAAGCAACAACATATCAGGCATCAAAAGGGAAACAAATGGTCATCTGTTCCTGGATTGGATACTGTACCAGAAAAAAAACAAGCTGTAATGAACATCACTGGGGCAATTTTTAAAAATTAATATGCACTATGGATTTGAGAATCATACTGCATCAATGTTCACTTTCCTGATTTTGATCATTGAACTTTGGTTATAAAAGAGAAGTTCCTGTTATTGGGAAATACACAATGAAGTATTTTTTGGTAAACAATAACAGTGTTTATAACTTCCTCTCAAATGATTCAGAAGAAAAAAAAAGGTGTGTGTGTGTGTGTGCACATGTATATGTGTTTGTGCACATGCATGGGGCAAAAGATAAACAGCTAGTGAACCGGACAAAGTGTATACAAGTCTCCAGGAGTTCCTCATACTACTCTTGAATTTTTGCAAATTTTCTGGAAGTATGAAATTATATCAAAATAAAAATACTCAAAAAATGTGAAAGAAAAAGTTAAAATAACACCTTTAGAGATCTAGTTTTTTAAGTCAAGTGAAAAAGAGTTGACTATAAATAGGTGAAAATTGAAATCCTGACATAGAAGACAAGCTTGAGATAATCACAATAAATTCAAAACACAAAAGGGAATAAAAACTAGTTAAAACAATTGAAGGAAACATAAGTAATACATTGTTTAAAGAGGATCCAACACAAAGAAAATAGGTTTCTCAGCAGGAAAAAGCCAAACTGAGTGCTACCAACCCCCTCCTTTTTTATCAAGAGTTACCTCTTCATTCTTTTGTCTTCCCAGTCAGTCTTTCTCCTTTCTTCCCTTTCATTCAACAATTCAGATTTGGTGAGACAGCTTCCCAGTGATAACTTCCAATTAGTCCTAACCAGTTTGGGCCAGATTTGGGAGGCTGCAAACAAGTCTCGACTTTGCCTGAAATTCCATCCTCTGATGATACAAGGCCAACTCCTTTTTGTTTTAATGCTTAAATCTGTACCCCATAGAGAACGTTCATTGCACGCAACATACATGATACTGCACTGCACATGTGGGCTCATCCCACTTGATTATGCATAGAAATAACCCAGCCTTTGTTAAAAATATGTAAGTTCTGATATCTAGATCCTGCCTTGCTCTTGATTTGCGCAACTCAGAAAAAAATGCTCCTTTCTGTTGCATGCTCAAACTGTCCCCTCCATCATTTTTTCTTTCAGCATTCACTATAGACAAGGGTCCTGTGGGTGTTTACTCATGACAACAAAATGGAACAGAAAAGGAATTCAAAGAAATAAGAGCAGAAAATTTCTCTCAAAATTAAGAGGTATGTATTCTGCTGATAGAAAGAGAACCCTGCATTTTAAGAAATGCTGAATTATCAACACCAAAACACAATCCTGGTCCAGTTACTAAATTTCAAAGATTAAAAGAAAAACTTTTCAAGCAGCCAGCCAGGAAAGAAGTCTGTCACATGCGAGACCAAGGGTGAGGTAAAAAATCAAGGTGGCCTCAGATTACTTCACAGCAGAATTCAGAAACAGAAAATGGCAAAGCAGTATGTACAGGGTTAAGATCAAGGTGACCTAAGGATATTACCCTAGGCCAATCTGCCATTCAAATACCAAGGTAGCAGACATTCTCGAATATGAAAGAACTGAGGTAATAGAGCTATCATGATCCCTGCCCACAAGGAAAAAATCAACCAAACAAAAGTTAAATAGAAAAACTGTTAAAAAAAACAACCTCAACTTTTTTTTTTTGAAGCTCTTACAACGAGAAAATGGAGGGGACACATCTGGGTGGGAGGGGGGAGAGGGAGGAGGGAGGGAGGTTTTGGTGATGGGACACGATAACTAACTACATTGTATATTGACAAAATAAAAATAAAAATAAAAATAAATAAATAAATAGAAAAACTGTGACTAAAGACCAACTAGTGCCATATTCAGGGTCAGAAGACAGTGGAGAAATGTCCCCAACATGCGGAGGGAAGAAAATTGTGACCCACTAACTGAATCTAGTTAATGTGCCAATCAGCCATAAAGATAAAAGACAGACATAATAAAAAAATGCCATCTACAGATGAATCAAAATAAAACTCTCAGGATTGGGAAGCCATGGAAAAAATGCTGGTATTTAATCCATATGGATTTTCACTAAGAAAAAGAAAGTAAAAGGAAACCTTGACAAAATATGAAATTCTAAGTACAATAGGGGTGTATTATACTGTCTAGATTAGCAGGTACTTTAAAGAAGATAAACAAAGAAGTCTTCGTCTTTTGTTATATGAATTTAATCATTACTGTCTAAAACTAAAACATATAATTATAAATGGCCTCAATTGCTTATTGTTTCTTTTTACCTTCTCCCTTAATTTTAAAGGGACATTTGTAAAACTGTAGGTTGAAACATAAAAAACTGCCAATATTCCACAGTCTTTAGTCTACAAATGGGTAATTTCATATAGCTCAACTTGATATTTTTGTGGTGAAAAATACTTATCTGAAATGTACAATTTCCTCTAGTTTCATTTAAATTTTTCTTTTGTTAAGTTGGGTAAAATATATATATATTTGTATGTATATATAAAAATATTATTCAGAGCATAAATCTAGTCTTATAAAATTATTACAGTCTTTCCTTCAAACCATTCACTCTTATAACTATGTATTTTTATATGTGGACTTATGATATAAACAGAGATGTTTAAAATGCTGATCGTTTAAGAGTAGTAAGAAGACGGCTATCCTGTTAGCTCGGATGGTGGTTAGAGTGTGGTATTATAAGGTCAAGGGTTGAGATCCCTGTACTTTACAGGTGCCAAAAAAGAAAAAAAGAGTTAGATTTTGTGGGGGGTTGTGGCTTTTTTTCTTTTTGTATTTTTTTATATTGCTTCAATTTTTCGAAACAAAGTTGTATCACTTTTAGAAAAATGGCAAAGTCATTATTCTAAGATCAATAACGAAGGACACCACAAACAGAAAAAACAAGGGAATTTACAGGACCAAAGAATTTTCTAGCCCGCTTCTTGGATCTACAGCTGGCTTCTTTCAAACTGTAAAAATGACTTTCTGATGAAAACAAAAGGATTACTTCTCCTGATGTTTTGTTACTGAACTAGACCTTTGCACGTTCCAGAATATGGTCACTATCTGCTAGACTATTTCCATCGAGGTTGAAAATAGAATATACAAGTATAATTTCTCCTCACACAATGGTCTGACAACTAGCAGCACTGGCATTTCTTGGGTACTTGCTGAATGTGCAGAATCTCAGGCCCCACCCCAGACATAATGAATCAGAATCTACATTTTGACAAGATCCCAGAGGATCTGTGCATACACTGAAGATTAAGAAGCACTGCTTTAAAAGATCTACTGACTCAATTTTCCAACAGCTGTGTTGGACAGTGGCTTTTGTAAAGCTACAGAGATTAACCTTTCAGAGGGTTTGTAAAAAGGAGAAAAAGGATTTTTTTAATGTGTACATCAAGGTCTTATACTACAATTTAGCTGTGCATTATGTAGGCTAAGGGGGACCATTTCTGGTGAGGCTGGGCACCACATATTTTATAATATGTTCAGGGTGATACCAAGGGATATGCAAGAAAACAGGCAAAGAAGGTTGATGGCTAAAGATGGAAATGGAAAGCCTTTTTTGTTTGCTTGCTTGTTTTCTTTGAGGAAGATATGAAGAATTGGGTAGAGGGCAGAGTTAAAGTTATCCATCGTGAAATAACTAACATTACCTGCAAGAGTTCTCAGCATATTTAATTCTTTTTTCAAACTGTCTAAGGTTTGTTGATCAGCAGTGTCATCTAAGAAGGGCTCATTCTGGTCAGTAATGTCAATATATTCAATTTCTGAAATTTCAGAAGCAGCTCTGGATAATGGTCCAGCAGCTGCACTTCTGGATTGAGGATTAGAAGATGAAAGGCCGCTGGAGCTTTTTTTCACACAGTTGGAAAGTGGTAAATTTGCTGTTGAAGGTCTCTGTAACATCTGGCCTAAAACGAGAAGTAAAATATTTTAAAACCAATTGTTATTAAAACTCTGAATGAGTCCTTAAAGATACAAAATACCAGCCCCCTGCACATAGAGCAGCTAAGTTTATGCAACAGAATTTATGAGAAAATCAACTTTTGATGATCATCCATTCTAGCTAACCAGATTTGTTAATCTCAAATTACTTTCCCAATGTGAAAAAGAACAATTCTGGGTAATTTTCCCTTAATTTTCTACAGTCAGAAACAAACAAACTTATTTCAATATTCACTAAAGCAAAATATCTGTAAATCAAGTCAACTTCAGACCAAAACAACACACACTCATAATCTATCCCAAAGTCAAGCACTGTGCGATGGTTCTTAAATTTTAGGACAATATCACACTGTACCTTGTAACAGAAAAAAACCCGTAAAATAACATAATGCCACTTCCTAGTGAACCAGCTTTACTTGACGGTATGTAATTTATTCTTGTATTGAAAATAATATAGAAAAAAATAGGCTAATATGCAAAAATCTGTGTGGATTTGCAGAAAAACACAGGCTTTAAAGAAACTGAGATCACATCTCTAATTTTCCTAAATATGATTTCACTCTCTGTTTTATAGGGCACTTTAACGGAAAAGTTCCAGAAGCTTTTATTGTTCCACTAAGGCAGTTACTACTTTGTCTTGGTTTATTTCAAAGTTTGACTTACTTGGTTTCTTCAACATGTATGTTTCTTTCACGGTAGGAAGAAAAAATTCTTCAAATCTTAGAGTAACATAACTAATTTATAATTTGGTATTTCTCATAGAATGTTTTTTAATAAAGTCCAAGGGAATTTTCAAAGTACAAATTAAAAAATTTATAGTGCAGGTAAATTTTTAAATGTACTGAATCACTGTTCTGATTTACATAAATATATTTATATTAAACATAAATAATGCATATTATAACTTTGCATTCCCTTAACATAAACTGACTTTATGTAAAATATTGGATTTTTTTCAAAAATGCAATTGTCATTATCATAAAAGTCATGATTTGACTGAACATTTGTCTTATAACATTATGCCCACCCTACTGGCTACAAGGAAAATGTAAAATTCAATAAGGTGACAACAGGCAGTTATCATGTATTAAACATTTAATGACTATTGAATTTATCTTTCTTCCTTTAACTTAAAAAACAAAAAATCTACTCTGATTGTAGCTCATACCCTAACAAGAATCTGAATGCAGTATGTAATTATTTAAGCAATTAAAGCTGACTAAGGTAGGTCTCAAGGGCATTAATTTTAACAAACATTTCAGAAGTCAATTTTCTTTTTTTTTTTTTTTCCTTTTTGTCTTTTTTCGTGTCCGGCAACGGATCGCAACCCTCAGTGTCGCGCCGCACCTCGCTCAGCCAGTGAGCGGGAACCGGTCTGTATGTGGGATCCGAACCCTCAGCAGGAGCGCCACCACGCTCCTAAGCGGCGCACTGCAGCAGTGCGCCACCGGGCCGGCCCAGAAGTCAATTTTCAAAACAAATTTTGTAAGAATAAAATTATGAATAAATTATAACAAGATTCTGACCTTTTGTGTCTATTTGTGCTCAGAGGCAATTCTGAAGAATAACTAAAATGTGTCTATGTGTTAAGAATATATGTAT